CATTTGAATAAAATAAATATAAAGTCAAATTCGATTTACGATCGTTGTCTATCAGCAGCAGCGGATGATTCAATCCCTGTTCAGGGGCCACATTTCGGATACGTAATCCCGCTCAATTCTCTGCGGTAAGTACTGAACAACCTGTTGCCAGTCAGGCACTTTTTCTGGTTTTTCTGGTTTCCCAAAGGGCTTGCCGCCGATTTAAGTAGGTCATAAGGCAGTAAGCCTATCGCCTGGGCCCCGGCTAATTACCCAGATAGCTATTATCTAGCAGTCACGCCCTCGCTCGGTGTCGGTTCGTTTCGGTTTTGCTGAATAATTGAAAGTAAATCAAAGCGAAAACGCCAGAAAACCTCTCTCATTCAATTACAATGCAATGGCAGCGGCAAAACGAACAGTTTTGCAATTATTTGTTTCTTACATGGAAAGAAAAAATAGGGAATGCTGTGAAGGGCTTATCAATAAAAAGATTGGGATAACTTAAAAGTGATAGAAACAAAATAAGTGGATTTTTTAGGTTTTCAAATTTCTTTGGTAAAAGTACAAAAAATCCTTTAAAAACCGTGTACACCATAATAAACCCAATGTCTATGGGTGCCTACGCAGAACAAATGTATGTACATATGTTGAATATTCAGAGAAATGTTTTTGTCTGAATAATGTTGTATCTATTAGTGTTTATTTATTTTTTAATTAATGACAGTTATAAATCTTGCTCCAGCTTAGACTTTCATGAATTTTAATATCATTACAATTTGAATACTTTAATTTATTATTCTTTATTTTTAGATTTTCTTAAATCTACTTAAATTTTATAAATTTGAGCTCAAAAAAAGAACCCCACAAACATTGCTACTCTCTGACGAATTTCTTTCAGTGCAGAAATCTTGATTGCAGGCTAAAAGATAGAGAGAACGAGAGAAAGAGATGCTGACAGGGCCGACGCGTGCTTAATTAAGCGCCACATTGTTGACCGCCAGGTGCTGGGAGATAGAGGGAGACGCAAAAACCATGGAGGGAGATGGAGGACAGGCGGAGCTTTCTCGCCTGCAGTCAGTTGTGTAAGGAAGTTGTGCTCAGTGTAGGGGAAAATAGGGGAAAAAAAAATGGAAGTGTTGAGCCTTCTGCACGCGATGATTTCAATTTAATTGCTCGCAATAAAGATTGCCTTTCATCGCCAAATTGCCATTTTTTGCGAAATTATGAAAGCGCTCCTTACTACTTCTTAATATCCAGCTAATAGTGTTTAAGTTAGCAGAGTTGTCAGCGTAAAATTACTATCAATTATTTTCACATTAATACAGTTTAATGAATTACTAAATTCTTAAACTGAAAGAAAAAATAATAAGTAATAATTACAGTGATTATTTTTTTTTTAACAATTAGTCAAATGAAATGAGATTATGTTGTTAGTTTATTCAGCGACGTAGAAAACTGGTAATTTTACCGTGCTTTAAATATAAAATTGTAATTTATATACTTGAAAACACAGGGAAATGCTTTATCTTACACTTGTCAATGAAGGAACAAAATTTTTAAAACTATACTTTATTTATTTGAAGTTAAATAAATAGACTTGCAACTAACAACTGTGGCTGTTAATTAGTCAAAGGAAATGAGCAGTTAATAGTTGACTAATAAGAATTCCGAAGAGCTTATTAAGTAGTAATCAAATGCTTACACACGTGAATAGGTTGACTTGTTTTTATTGTGTGTGCATGTACTACAGAAACATTTAACTACGGTCAAAGGGGCTTAAAATATGTATAATAAACGATATAATTAATTTACAGATTATATAATAACAGTATAGCCTTTAGCCATACGATATGTATTCTTTTTTATTAATTTCATTAAATTTCTTTTTAATATTTGCTAAATATAAATTGTCAAGACCATTAATCTATTGTAACTATTAATTCTCTTGATAAATTACCACAAAAGAACTAACATTAAAAAAATAAACATATCTGGAATAAACATAGATAATATTTTGACCGCTATCGTATATACAAACATACATATTTATATATGCTGCCCATGGGCATGTGCATAAAGTGCAGCTGAATTGAGCAGTTGAAGTGGAGTCGGGGGAAAATTAACATAAATAGGCAAATTGTGTAAGCGACATTTTTATGTTGTAAATAAAATATACCTACATACACAAACTGACAACCACACTCGTGTGATGCACAAGTACCGAGCCCACTTGGTTGCAATTAATGGGCGAGTGTTTGCACTGGAGGTCGGGTGTTATCAATGAAGCAGACTGAATGAGGAAAAGAGTGCTTTCATCGCCTTTCTGTGTCTGCGTGAGTATCTGAGTGCTGGCATGTTTTTTGCTCAGGTGGACCGAGATCTCTTAAGCTTTTCAATCGCTTTGGGTAGCTAGACAGGGCCTAGACTCAATAAATAGTCAAATTAAGGAAAAGGGCGTAAAACACATGTGGTCTTCTATTCAATTGCCTTCCTCTCAATAGCTCGTGTAAAATGTTCTCTAAATGATTTTCACTTTGCCATCTGCATTCATTTTCTATTAATCTCCATAAATAGTTGATTAGACTTCAACAGTTTCAAAGGAGGCCCCTAAATCCCACGACTTCAGCTGACTGAACAGCGCACAGAATTTCCCCAAGGAAAGCTGTTACTCTCCCCGTTTAGTGAGGTCACATTATTTCCCATATGGAAAAGTATATGTTAGTTTTTTGTGTACTTAAAAAAAACAATTAATATGTGATGTCACAAATATGTAAATAAATCGCGCATGCCTCATACTTTTAAAAATGTTTCATATGAATTTCCCACTTTGACTTGTTCGCTTTTCACATTTTTGCATGTCCATTTATATGCCAGTTAATGAACTTTAAGTGTGCTGAAAAGAGTATTATTGGTAGTTCGCCTTTAATAAAAATTACTTCCAAAATCTGAATCATTTTAAATTTGTATTTACTACTTTTTATAAATTTAAAAGCGCATTTTAACTTAAAATCTTTTGAGATCCAACTATGCTAAATTTAGAATCAAATGAAAATTGTGAGAGTAGCACAGCATTCTTAAAGCATTTGGCTTCTATCATTCAAAAAAGTATAATCAAAGTTAACTCGCCCAAGATACAAATTTAATATTTAAAAAAATATAATTCAATTTGTGTCATGTTTTAGAAAAGCTCTTTAAAATTAATGTAAATAAGTTTAAAGCTGTTTTAAACAAAATAATTGGATTAAGCTCTTTACATTATTTTAAATCACTCATTAGAGCATACATGAACACCAACATCATAGAATTAGCTAGAAACTATTTCCGCACTTCGAATAGAAGGGTATTTTAGCTTCAGAGCAGCTCCTTAAGAATTTTTTTCGACTGTTTTTGTTCGACTATTTAACATAGCGAACGTGCCATGGCTAGCATTTTTTCAATTTTCATTGTTGCTGCAACGTGAGGGGGGGTGGCAGCTTGCGAGCTTCATTGAATGCGGCAGCGCAGGGTGATAGTGGGCGTAAAGGGGGAGGAAGATTGGGAGGAAGGGGGCGGCCGGGGCGGTGGCTTCAGTGTAATTCGAACTGACAGGCTGACAACAATGAGAACATCGGATTCGACGGCGGCTCGCATTTGATGATGCTCCATTGAAATATTTGCAGTGGTTTTCGAACTAATTTCCAGCGACATGCAGGTAGCAGAAATAGTTTTTAATCAATATGCAACCGCAAGAGGGGTTCAGATTGTTTGACTCTGCCGTAAAGCGGTTAGAGCTCAATTGGGACAATATCGATCAGGTCGTTGGGCGGATGCCCGAGTAATTTCTCCCCCCGGCCAATTTAATATAATTTAATTTGCCCCTGTAAAGGGGAATTGTTTTATGTGCGATCCAGCAGCCAGGACAACTCCCCAAGGAGCCGACCGCAGACAAAAGCTTCAATAAAAAGCCCCTGAAACTTTGAACCGAACTTTGTCGCCTCAGTCGTTCACATCCACGCCCTGTTGCTTTAACCTTTTTCCCTTCTTTCCCCTCTGCCACTTTCCCCGCCTCCATTCGTTGTGGTCCGGCCTTGTGTGTGCGGCTTAGCCGGGAAACCCATCTAAGCCAATAACCAAGTCAAGGATGTCCGTCATCCGCCTGGCAGCTTTCGAACTTGCTAAAGTGTTGCGACTTCCCTGGCCCATTGTTGGCAATTCACATTTTATATTTTTGTGTACTTTGCAGCATCTCTTCGAAGGTAATTTTCTTGAGCATTTTTCACACTCGAATTGTCAAACAGATGTTCGTATTCCGATTCGCTCCACTGGGTCCCAATCCATCGGATTGATGACAGCCAAACCTGTTCCCCAAGATTGGGGAAAGTGGGGGAAAGGAAAGATTGAACCATTCTGTGCACGATTTCAAGCATTGCACATTGATGTGCCCCGCTGAGTCAAATTCCCATTCGGTCTATTGTTGCTAAAGTGCCTAATGCCCAACCATTCGTTGGGCTTGAGCAACTATTGGGGTTGGACGAACAAAGAAAAGGGATTTTTGTCAAAGGATTCCAGTTTGCTTATTGGATTCTGCATGAGTTATGGCGATATGTGCAGGCACTAAATTCGAGGAAGAAGGAACGCCAATTGACTTCGATCATATTATACCATTTAGCTATAAGAAAAAAAGACTTTCTAATGATATGAAAACTACCTTAATAATAACAAGTGACTACTAAAAGAAACTACTACTACTAAAAGAAACTACTGACTACTACTAAGAAAGAAAAAGACTTTCTAATGATATGAATGAATGATACTCAAAACATTTTTGACATTTTTTATACATTTCCGACTATTGCTTAAAATTGCAATTATTTTCTTTATATATAGATCAAGGTAATATTTCAGGTAGAGATAGGTTTGTTTGGTTCAGAATCCTAATTATTTTAAAATTATTAATATTACTTCCTTCATTATAAAAACCAATTAATGATTCCTTGTTGTAAGTTTAGAGGTTTTAAGGAATATATAACAACTGTCCTAAGTAAAGATAAATACACAAAAAATGCATTTATTTTGGTTGAAAACAATTTTTTGTCAGGCCGAAAGAAGAGTTCCCTGTAGCTCAATCGGAGACGTAATCGCGAACCGGCTCCATGACTGTGGTGGTCGCATTGATCTCTACTAAGCGAATTTGCATTTTGTCAATGGCTGGGCCCAAGACAAACACATTCACCATAAATATAAGGAAGCCCACCATAATAAGCAGGACACAAACGACTACGGAATACACGACGCACTGGGCTGTCCGGGCGGAATCCATGCCGCTATGGATAAGCACGACCACGCCTCAATCACACTGCAAACTATTTGGAGTCATTTTGGGAATTGTCAGGCACTGCTCAAATTCGATTCTTTACATCACCACCGATGTCCTTCCTGCATATCCATTTCTTCAGCCCTCTACTCCGCCTTGAATTCGGGGCATTTAATCAAGTTATTGGCAACGGGCGGTGGGTGGTTATCGCGAGATAAGTTATGCAAACACTTTGTGTGCCACTCCTACGGGATGCTTTGCTTTCTCTATTCTTTTTGCGCGCACACACACTCTCACAGACGCACGCACACAGGGGGAACTTTTATCACACGCACACAGTACGAACTTTTATCCCCTTTGTTCTTCTGTTACTCTGTTTTCACTGGCAATTTTCGGTTTTTTGAACTGGGCGAAATGTGTAATTTATGTTATTTCTGTTAATTTTGATTCTCAACCAACGATTGCCTGACAATTTTCGCCCAGACTGAGCTTTCGTCTCGGATTTCACTTGCCCAGCATCACATCGCCCATACGCACCGTGGCCAGGCAGCAGAAGCAAGTGTTGCCTACTTTTCGACGCCCGCTCGACACGACGCCTGGCTGTTCCGCTTTTCCTTTCTTTTCCGGGGCGCTGCGAAGGACAACGTGGCGCTTTGTGCGTCGCTCGACTACTGAAAAATCCTCTCGCTTGCTCCGAAATCCCTTAACTTTTGGGCTTTAAGCTCCGCCGCGGAGCTTTATAAGCTGGCCCAAGGCTGGGCCACGCCTGCGCCCTGGCATGTAAACAAATTCGGCTGCCCGCTCCCAGTTGTTTTCCCCGCCTCTCAGCTGTTCGACGCCGCTCGCGATTCCGGTCAGCTGACTGGCGCCTCTGCCGCCCCTGACTGCGCTGCTGCTGCGACGCCGACGGCGACGTCTGCATCTGTTTGCATGCCAACCACTTGTGGCTCTTTGTTGTTTGTTTGGCTTTTCCCACGCATGTGACTCGGCCGACTTGGCCCCAAAGCTTTCGCTTTGGCTTGACCGCCCGCCGAACGCTAATTTACGCACCCGGTTAGTCTGTTTAAGTGATTGCTTTTTGAGCAGTCCGTAATCGCTCGACTTGTTTAAATCGCCGAACTTGACAGGCCGATAGCGTAATATCCTCGCTGAGTCATGTGACAACCGTTAGACAAGTAATGTGACTGTGCTGGTGAGCTAGGTCAGTCCAAAAGTAAGGTAGAATCTGTTGAATCTGATGGCTTGAATTAGACGGCCACAAGTAACAAAGTGAAAAATATAATTAACTTACGTTAGTTTTAATTATCCCTAATCAGCGAGCATAATGATTCGAAACTGTAAACAAAACTCAACAAAATTCAAGTTCTGAAATGTTATTGTTAACTCAGTTAACTAAATTCTTAAAAAACGTGTACGTCCTTATAGACTTTATAGATGGTGTGTTTATGTCAAACTTAAATCAATTTAATTGTAATGTGGTTTTTGTCTTAGTTCCTATAAATCTAGCATAAAAACCTTTTAAATAGTAATTAATTTTAAAAATAAATTTTTGTAGTAATAATAGTAATAAATTTTATTCAACAAACTAAGGTAGCTAAAATAAAAATATATTTATTTGGAACTTCGCCGTTTATTTGTTTACGAAAAATGTATTTAACCATGTCACTCAAAGAGTGAAATATTCCATTGGAAAAAAATTACAAAATATAAATAGATGCAAAATATTCACATTCGACCTAGTCCAGCGGTAAAATAAGTTTTTACTTTACGAAAAATCGCATTTTACTTGTCAAACATATTTTGATGTGGTGAGTAAATGGGTTCCTAACAGTTGGACCACTCAAACGTATCAAATCTATGTTCTGTGAAGCCAACATAATCTAGCTAAAACGCATCTTTAAGGAATGTTCCCCCATTGAAACCCAAACAAAGGCTTTTTGAGGGGGCACACTTGCACATTCGGAGCTGCTGCATGCAAAAGTCGCACCGACGACCTTGACCCGGTGGGCGAAATCGCATTAAGACCAGGAGAAGAGGCGGAAAAGTCAATGCAAATCTGCACATGCTCAGGCTGAAAGCCAAAATGCAGGGCAGTCGGGCGGAGGCACAAAGCAGGGTTTGACTAATGTCCCATTGGCAACGCTAGTGGCACTACTAACCCAGCTAATTCGCGGCGCTGATGCGTGAAGCATGTCGAAATGGGGGATGAAGGGGGTCGGACTTGGGAGAAGCCATGAATGAAAGGAAAAGTTGTGGGTGCCTTGAGCGAAAGTGGTTTACATTCCACTCAAACCCGGAGCGGAAAAGCGGAAAAGCTTCCGCAAGCTCGGGCCTTAGCTTTTCGGGCCGATTGCGGCGAACTTTGGCCAACATTTTCGCTCCAGCACTCGGTGTTTGTAGACCGTTCTATTTCGTCGGGCTGCTGCAAACTAAACTTCAAAGAGCTGGCCAAAAATCGCCACAATTAATCATCCCAGTTTGCTATTTGTTAAAGTTTTTCGGCTGCGTGCAATGATATTATGTGTTTACATAGCGCCCAAACAATATGAACGAGTGTAAGTGTTTGCTGGCCACTTGGCCGACGGGATGAAAATGTACACCTGGAAAAACAGATCCCAGGGAAGCCTTCGTGAGGCACTGGCAATGCCAGCTTCCGCCACAATAGAACGAAAACGAAAAAAATAGGCAAAATATCTGAGCTCCCACTCGTAGATACTGAGGGCCCTGTGTGTGTATCCACAATTTGTGTGTGATTTTGTTTAAGGTAACTGCTGGATTATTGTTATTCGACCGCCTAATTTGATTGAAGCGCTTGTTGGCCAAATTTATGTTCGAATAAATACCGTTTTAATTGCCTAACAGCAGGTGGGTCAATGGCGAGCCATAGATTAGGCAAATCACTTGTACTGCCACAGTTTATTGTGATAAAAAATAATTGCTATGTTGGCAAACAGATTTAATCGTCATCCGGAAAACGTGAAAATTCTTCCCACCCTTAGAACCAATTTATTGTATGTAGCGGGGTGTCTTGAGTTGATGGCACAGCTGTCTCCGAGGACCCAGTTTGCCTTCCGAATTCCACGGTCCTTGTAGGGGGAAGAGGTCCTCGTTTCCTGCCTTCAGTCATCTACTTCCCTTCATCACTGCTAACAAGATGGACATATTTGAGCAGATGGGTGTTGCCATCCTGCTCTGCTGAGCCGGATTTCGCTGAATTCCTGACCCATAAAGTGGCTTGGCCCAGAGAAAAGTTATGAATTTCTCATTTCCTCAACTGAAGTGATGTATTCGGCGGAATTTTTGAGCTTATAAGCCCTGTCTAAACTGAAGTTTAAGGAGGCGCAAAGAAACATTTTCGGTAATTGTTATGTCAATCAATATGATTAACTGGAGCCATACATAAATCGAATGCGTTCTAACCTTAAGCTCTTCCCCGCTTTTCACATCCCACTCAGCTCATTAGTATGCCCATGATGTAGCGCCTTAAGCCGAACTAATCATCTGAAACAAATACATTAGAATAATAAAAATAGCAAATAAATAACTGCCTCTTTGGGATATGCGAGCTGAGAATTAAATAAATAAATAAACCATAAATATCTACAGAAATATCTACAGAAATTATCTTAGACATAACAAGAAAGGAAAGCTAACTTCGGGCGGAGCCGAAGTTGATATACCCTTGCAGAATACTCTGTAAATTATATTCTCCAAAATTATTCATATGATGCATTCTTAATACTCATAAAAAATCCCAACTTCCTAACTTTAAAAACACCAAAGTTATGGCATTTCCAATCGTTCAGTTATATGGCAGCTATAGGATATAGTCGGCCGATCCTTATGAAATTTGGTAGGTCGGATTGATTGGCCAAATATAAAACCCATAGAAAATCCCAACTTCCTAACTTGACAAACACCAAAGTTATGGCATTTCCGATCAATCAGTTATATGGCAGCTATAGGATATAGCCGGCCGATCCTTATGAAATTTGGTATGTCGAATTGATTGGCCAAATATAAAACCCATAGAAAATCCCAACTTCCTAACTTGACAAACACCAAAGTTATGGCATTTCCGATCAATCAGTTATATGGCAGCTATAGGATATAGCCGGCCGATCCCGGCCGTTCCGACTTATATACTGCGTGCAAAGGAAAGAAGGGTGTGTGCAAAGTTTGAATTCGATATCTTTAAAACTGAGAGACTAGTTCGCGTAGAAACAGACAGACGGACAGACAGACGGACAGACGGACAGACGGACAGACGGACAGACGGACATGGCTATATCAACTCAGGAGGTGATCCTGATCAAGAATATATATACTTTATAGGGTCGGAGATGTCTCCTTCACTGCGTTGCACACTTTTGACCAAAATTATAATACCCTCTGCAAGGGTATAAAAATGTTTAACAATTTGGACATACATAAATACAAGACTAACAGAAGTTAAATTTTTCAAACAATTCGTCGTTTGACTATAAAGTTAGAATAAACCAAAAGACATCCATTCGGAGAATCACCTTAAATATGTACTAAAGCAGAATATCTGTTCTATGTTAAGTTTATTTTCCCGAAAGAACTTAAAACAACTTATAAGAACCCTTCAAATAAAAACCACTGTTCCAACTACTATTGCTTGCTTCCATAACGCTCGTCACACAATGAAAACATTTGCCTCATCCTTTGCAATCTAGTGTGACAATGTATGTATTTGTTCTTTCCATTCGCAATGCATCCGTTATGTGCAGATAATAAAGAAAGAAATCATAAAAAAGCATAAAAGCGTCGACTACAAAAATCGTTAAAGCTGACAACTTTAGTTGGTACATTTTAAATGTGGACACCAAGTAGAAATGTTTATTGGAGTTATTAAAGACTCGACTTGCCGTCTCTCAAGGGGTGGAAATATAAAGAATTCGCTGGTCTGTCCCAAGGCACGATACAGAGTAATGTGGGGTCGCTCGACCGACTGCTATGAATTTTTTATAGCCAGCTAACCCAAAAAAAATAAATGGCCCCCACATCGTGCCCTGGTGGCTTTAACAACATATTTTTTGTGTCTTATTAAAAGCAAAGTCTAGAGTGAGCAATTAGATAAAGTAAAATCGAATATATGTATGGATGTACTTCTGACAAACTAAGAATAAAACAAGAAAGGAAAGCTAACTTCGGGCGGAGCCGAAGTTGAAATACCCTTGCAGAATATTCTGCAAATTATATTCTCCAAAATTATTCATATGATGCATTCTTAATACTCATAAAAAATCCCACCTTCCTAACTTTAAAAACACCAAAGTTATGGCATTTCCAATCGTTCAGTTATATGGCAGCTACAGGATATAGTCCATATGAAATTTGGTAGGTCGGATTAATAAGCCAAAAATAAAACCCATAGGAAATCCCAACTTTCTAACTTTACAAACACCAAAGTTATTTCATTTCCGATCAATCAGTTATATGGCAGCTATAATATATAGTCGGTCGATCCTTATGAAATTTGATATGTCGGATTGATTGGGAAAATATAAAACCCATAG